TCATATAACATTTTCTTCTAATCTTTTCTCAGATTTTATTATTTTCAAATTTTGTACAGATGTTATATTTTCAATTTCTATTTATAAATTTTTTCAAATACTTGAAGAGAATCTGATTTGTAAAATGCAGTTTGAAAAAAAAGCAATGCATAAAACCCATCTGAACCAAATCTGAAAATATAAAATTTCAAAATGTAAAAATATAAAATCTGTGAAAAAAAAAATTGGATTACTTCTTCGCCTAACCAATTTTTATAAAAAAAAAAAAAAAAAAAAAAAAAAAAATGGAAAAAGTATCATATTGTTTAATTTGAAAAATAAAACCGGAAAAAAAGAAGTGGTAATCCTGAAACCTTTTTTTAGGATGTCTTTCATTTCATTTTTATGATCTTTCTTTTAAATTCGCTTTGTAAAGCTTTATATATCTATATATATAGATATATTCCATGTACTTTGGAATTCAACAAGCAAATGGCAACCTAACAAGGAAAGCAACTATGGCCAAATACCTCCAACAAGTGAGGCAGGTCCTAAGGAGCCAGCTCAATGGCAAGAATAAGTCTCGGGCAAAAAATAGCTACTCTCTACTAGTAATCAGATACCCTGCAGGAATAATAAGCTGGCCAAAGGAGGAGGTACAGGCCACAGATGTTAAGACATGAAGGCTCCAAAACATGCACAGAGGGTACCACCCCAAATCCAGTACCCTGAGACTGTACGCCAGCCGTAACTGAAGGAAGGAGAGGATTAATGAGCCTAAGAGCCACTATCCAGAATGAAACATCCAAGATCTATAACAACATCAAGGACAAGGCTCAAACAGACGACATCCTCACTGAATGTCTCAGAAAATGGGGAACAGAAGATGAGGTGCCAGAGACTCTGTCTCTACCACACCAGACAAGACCCCAGGTGCAGACTGTGCAAAGAGACCCCTAGGACAATCCAGCACATAACTGCAGGGTGTAAGATGCTGGCAGGGAAAGCTTACATGGAGCACCATAACCAAGTGGCTGGAATAGAATACAGGAACATCTGTGCAGAGTATGGGCTGGAAACCCCAAGTTCAAAATTGGAAACACCTCCAAAGGTGGTAGAGAATGATCAAGCCAAGATCCTGTGGGACTTCCAGAAACAGATGGACCGAATGGTAATGGCAAACCAACCGGACATTATGGTGGTGGACAAAAAGCCGTTGTGGTTGACATAGCAATACCAAGTGATTGCAACATCAGGAAAAAATAACATGAGAAACTAGAGAAATAGCAGGGGCTCAGAGAAGAGCTGGAGAAAACCTGGAAGGTCAAGGCATCAGTGGTACCCGTGGTCATTGGGGCCCTCGGGGCAGTGACCCCCAAACTGGAGGAGTGTTTACAGCAGATCCCTGGAAATACATCAGATATCTCCATCCAGAAGAGTGCAGTTCTAGGAGCAGCAGAGATACTGACAGAATCCTCAAGCTCCCAGGCCTCTGGTGCTGGAGATAGGCACCAGCCTCACTAGCAAAGAAGATGGATGGGTAAAGTACAGAACAGAACAAAATTCCCTCCAAAGACCAGTCTCTTATACTGATTTCTTTTATTGGTAGTGGGAATGGCTCACTGACACGAGTCAACCCAGGTGAAAGGACTTGGCAACTAACCGGGATTAAAACTGCCATCAAACTGCTCAGTTCCGATCGCCATACAGTGGAAACAACCGACCCGGGTTGGCCCGCTAATTTACTTAATACCAGTGAGCGCAACGATTCTACGTAACAATACTGTGCCAGTCGCATCAGATATAAAAATTCAAAACAACTTGACATGCATTTGATAACATGGAGCGACACCTGTAAGACGGACAGACATAGGACAATAAAGCACACTTACTACACCCTGGCTCCCATCCATGTTGCTCTCCATTTTCCTGATTTCTGTCACACTGGTGACATCATCAACATTTGCCCAGTGTGATTTCTTCATCAGACATCCAGCAGTGGGGGCACAGAGGCCAGGCCGCTCATCAGCTGGTTCTAACCCTCCGCTGGGAAGCTGCATGGCCTCTGATTGTCTCTGTGTTTACCTGTGACAGAATGACCTCCTCCAGGGTGTTCTCTGCATTTCTTCTATAGACTGCAACAGAATGCCAGAGACCTCTATAGAGTGCACCGATCCCACCACAACCCTGATGGAATAAGTGGGAGAAGATGGCTGGATGATTCATTGCTGTGTATCAACACAGAATACCGCTTTAAATAATATTTTTGTCATTGTTATGGTTCCAAAAGAGGCCTGTAGCGGCAACAGAGAATATGAGGGACTGCAAGGAAGACACCTGCTTGTCTTGGGTTTTGAAGATAATGGGGCAGACTTTAAGGTTTGTCAAATTGAATATTTAACTCATTTTGTTTTCATCTTTAGCACCATCCACAGTGAAGATGCTTTGCCTAAATTACAGGCTACAGCCAGGATGAAAACAGTACTGCCTCTAGAGGCGGGATCTCCTGAAAAGTAGCCAATCTCTGACAGTTTACTTTCCTAGTTTGGTTCCACCCTCTAAAGGGCTCATTATGTTGACGAACATACAATCCGCACATAAAAATGAGCCACCGGTCACATCTAAAGCATTTACTCTTGAGAAAGTAGAGAGCACAGCTGTTTATATCTTTTTCAAAGCCTCTTCCTGCTGTTGAAGAGTTTTTCCACAATCTGCAGACAGTAGTGATATTTATGGATAAAACCCCTGACAGAGGTTGACGTTAAGGATTTTTACCACTTGCCCTCTGGGCAAGTGACTTTCACATTTCATTTGCCCAGAAACAATTTTTACTTGCCCAGTATAATGTTTGACAAATATAGTTCCTAATATTCATTTTTGTATATATATCAATGAAACATGTTTGTTTTTTAAATGTTTTTTGTAATTCAGTATTTTTTAGGTTTCCAGGTTCCTGGTGTGTATCTGCATGCGTCACATAATGAACTCAAGCCTACATTACCGTGTTAACATGCTTTTCAATCCTTCCTGCTCATTCTTTTCAAACTAAACTTTGCTTTAAACTGTTGTGTGCTTGGAAAAATATAAATGGTAATGTTAAAAAAAAAATAAAAATACTTGACAGGTTAAAAACTTAAGATAAATTACAAGACAGAAGTCAAACTCACAAATGAATAACTTTTATTTTAGAGTCACGGTATGTTTATACAAGATAATACTATTAATATAATGTGACTTTTCTAGAGAATCATTATACATAGTTATTTTATTCAGGGTTTCCACAGTCTGACATAAATTCAGAATTCCCTGACTTTTAACTGACTCAGGATTAGTTTTCCCTGACAAAATAAATGCAGCAACAAGACAATAATAATAACATAACAGGTCACCAATCTAACATGTTTAGCTCTATAACATTTAAATGCACCTCTCCAATGTCTGAGAGAAAAAAAATTAAAGAACATTTTTTATGACCTGCATCACTGTACAGAAGGCTGCCATATGATAGCGCTTTCTAGCTTGTTTTTCGTTTTGGTAACTACATCAAAATTACCGCTAGGTGGACAAAAATCACGCCATCTGGCGGAAAATCACGCGAGAATGTGCACAAAACAACAAAAATGGTGCCGGCAACGCTTGTTGGTCGTTTTCAGCAAATGTTGCTGATTTTAAAGTAGTTTTAAGTGATTTTTTTTTTTTTTTGTGATCATTGCACTTGCCCGGCTGGCAAATGCAATGAAATTTGTACTCTCCCAAAAATAAAAACTACTTACCCCGGGCAATCGGGCAATGGTTAATAACATCGAGCCCTGCCTAATGTCTCTATATGTTGACAGTTGACATTTTTTTTATCTCTGCTTCTTTTTCTATGTCTGCTTTTGCCTCAGCAGATGGCCGCTCACACTGAGCCTGGTTCTACTCGAGGTTTCTTTCAGTTCAAAGGGAGTTTTTCCTCTCCACTGTCACTACAAGCATGCGTAGTGTGAGGGATTGCTGAAGAGTCAATGAGTCGATGCAATCAGCTGGTTTTCCTTAGATAGAAAACTTTGAATCAATCTGACTGGATGATGAGATGAACTGGAAAGTGACCTGAGATGACATGATGTGAACTGGCACTAAAGAAATAACTGAATGAATAGAATTTTATGGCGGTAACTTTTTAAAGATGAAATGAATATGTATGCTGGAATGTAAGAAAAACATATTGCCTACTAGTGGTGGTAGAGAAAGTCCACTCTATAAAGTTCAAAGGGTGTGCTGTGTAGGGAGAGATTACTGTAATGTCATGCAACAGAAAATGAATTCCTCTTTTCAGGGGTCATTCATTGTCTTTTTCCCCTGAAGGACTCAACTTAGCATGAGTTATCTTTTCTTTTGAGTCAGTTATTGTGTTCTTTGTGATTGATCTGTCTTCTTTAAGCCTACCTTACACTGAAAAAAATAATGCGACGGCTTTTGGCATTAATTTAATCATACTGTATTTGTTTTATGTCCTACCCTGCTAACATGAACCAATTGTGTTAAAGTAACCAAATATGGTTAAGGAAATGCCAAAAACGGTTGCATTGTTTTATTTTCAGTGCTGCTTTCATAAATTTTGTTCGTCCGGATCACTTTGTAAAACAATTTCTGGTTTTTGAAAGTGCTTTATAAGTACCCTGGAATGAAATCTAAAGTGATTAGCAGAAAGGAGCCGCTCGCCACTATATTCCTCATCATGTCATGAACAGACTCAGGAGGTCGCGCTCTTTGCCCTCTTCCTGCAGCCCACACACAGCAGACCCATTACAGATCCAATTCCCTCATTCCTTTGATTTCTGCTGTAAAATGATTAGAAATGTGTTTTTTCTTCAGTGATGATAAAGTGCTGATGACAGTGAAGGAGTTCCGCCGTGATGGGAAGGAAGCTGCGTTTGGATCGCAGGGTGAGGTGAGGAGGGTGGGGGTAGAAGCTGGCGCTCTCCTGCTGCTCAGCGCGCTGTAGACGGCGGCGGGACTCCAGTTGGTGAGAGCGCTCAGACTCAGCAGCAGCAGCAGCAGCAGCAGCAGCATCCCGCTGCCTACACCCGCACAGCACCGCACCGCACCGCAGCTGCGGGTCCTTGGTGTCCCGCGGCGCCTGGTCGGACCATCCCGCACTGAAGGAAGAACGATCCAGATAAGGCGAAAGACGTTTCTGTTGCATCGAAAAGAAAGTGAGAGAAGCTGAAGAGAATCTTGACTGGACACTTTTTTTTCTTTCTTTTTGTTTGTTTGATTGTTATTGTTTCTTTTTATTGTTGTTCGCACGAGGCGGGCTGGGGTCGCGCGCGCCGCGTCTTTTTCCATGGATTTATTTCCAGCCGGACTTCTCTGGGAAATAAACTAGTGTTGAACCGTTTCTCTGGGTTATTGTTCCACTCAGAGGGAAACCATGATCTTCTCACTGTTCTGTTTTCTGCCTCTTTTCGGTAAGTTTCAGTAGGAGATGTTTGATTAGAGCAGGAGTCTCACATGGACTCCAGACTGATCCAAAAACAACAGAAAAGCGCAGCATCATTTAAACCAGATGTTTACTTAAAAATAGATCTGGTTTTTCTGCCTTAAAGCTCTTTTCTATGTTGGAATCCCTAAAAAAATCAGCTTTTAAAGTCTTAATGTTCTCCTGCATCATTGATTAGACCTCATGTTTTTATTTTTAGTGGAAAATAATTGGATGCTTTGGTTTATTTTAATGTATTTTGCGCCTCCAGATGTGCTGACCTACGCGGAGGAGAACCTGCGCGCCTCTCGGCTGGACTGCGTGCGGGCCAGCGAGCAGTGTCTGCGGGAGCAGGCGTGCAGCACCAAGTACCGCACGATGAGGCAGTGCGTGGCCGGCGGCAAGGAGAGCAACTTCAGCCGGGTGGCCGGCGTGGAGGCCAGGGATGAGTGCCGCAGCGCGATGGAGGCGCTCAAACAGAGTCCCCTGTATAACTGCCGGTGCAAGAGAGGCATGAAGAAGGAGAAGAACTGCCTGCGCATCTACTGGGGGATCTATCAGTCCTTACAAGGTTTGAACTTTTCATTACAGCAGCTCAATCTGACTGGTTTGGAGCTGTTATGGTTTAAAAACCTGAACCAGCTTAATAACCTTGTAGTGAGATTGAAATCAGAAGCATTGAGGATTTTTTTTTAAATCTCTTTACTTGGGCAGGACTGCAAATTTAAGTCTGATTAGAATAAAATAAATGATTTGTATTTTTGTCCCTGATTTAGAAAAAAACCCCAAATAAAATCAGCAACTCCTTCAAATGTTGATCCGACCAGCCCTCACACCCACTCCCCATCCACTGGGGAGGAGATTTGTTAGTGAAATCTTACCAGATGTTTTATCTAATAGGAGACCCCTGACCCCCCTTCACCATGGGGGCATCTACAAAAAATAAAACCCCACAAACAAACAGAACCTTCGGCTGATCCTGCACACAGGCTCAGGCCTGACCCACACCCAGAGACCCTCTCATAACAGACCCATTCTATTTAATGAGACATTGTTGGAATGATGTGAGCAAAGTTTATTATCTAAACTTTAAAAATCAAGAACCCAGGATGGAAAAGAACCAGAAGTCTAGAAACAGACATGGTGGATGATTGACGGGCCCCCAGCTCAGCTTTTCATTGTTCAGAGATCTGAAACCAGCCAATTTATATCTGCTGATTTTTGATCAAGGCGTTAAAAAGTAAATAAATAACTAACAGAAAAATGTCTTATATAAACACATCAACCACTTCAGGCATAAATGCATTTAAGCCCAAGTTTGGATAATGTGGCTCCCAAGATTTCTATAGTTGGAATCAGGCAGTCAGAATATATTTATTAGAAGTTGTTATGAGCTGATCGATGCATCTTTATGTTATGCAGGTGTTTATAAACTGCTGGTGTAGACTCAGGAGCTGTCGGGGCCAGCAGGGGGCCCTAAACAGTCAGTAAATTAACTTAACCCAGCTCTGAGCCTCCTCCTAAATGTAGATGAATTTTGGAACCATGAGTGAGCGACCTCCATCCTCATCCTCCTGACTACCAAACCACCTTTTTTTCTAGGTGTTTAGTGGAAGGAAGATGAAAACAGAAATGACAAAAACACTAAACAGAACAGAAACAATAACTTGCTCAGTCAGACCTGACACTATTCAGAGAGTGGCTTCTTGACCTCCTGAGCTGTATCCCTTACAGCTAATGGAACGTGTCTCTCCACCCCCCCACCCCACCAGTGGGGGTTTATTTAGAGCCCCTAACTGTGTCCAGTTCCTCGCCTGCTTCCAGTCAGCTGACCAACCTGCCTAATCAAGCGTGTGGCTGTATGCCAGCCTGGATATCGACTGACCCAAATAACCCGTGTCACATACAGGCCAAGCCAACAACCCCCCCTCCCCAGAAAAATGATAAACAAAACCAGGAGGGGTGATGGGTAGTAAACATTAAACCTATTGAGTTGGTCTTTTTTTCTCTGGGGTTACAGGTAACGACTTCTTGGAGGAGTCTCCGTACGAACCGGTGAACAAACGTCTGTCTGACATCTTCCGCCTGGCTCCAATCTTAGGTAAGAGCGCCCAAACCTCCCCCCCCCGCCCTGAGCTGGGGCAGACACCCCGTCCTCTCAGAGATCATCTGGGGGGAAGCGTTCATCCTCGCTCTCTCCTCTTGTTTTCTCCCCCCTGCATGCGAGCTGGAAGTGATGTTGCATGGGGAGCTATAGTTCAGTCTCACCAGGCAGCGGATAAAAAAAGCCTTTAGATGCTCTGTGTGTGTGTCTGTTGTCATTTTGGAGCTGGGTTCTCGGTTCTTCGTTCTCTCTGTCATCCTGGCTGATAAATTCCTCATGTTTGTAGAGGCTGTGAGTGGAGAGTTATAAAGAGCATCAGCAGCATCTGCTCAGAGCCCAGCCTGGGAGTCAGTCTGGCCTCTAGATGGCGATGTTATTCCCCTCTTCACTCTTTTGCCTCATGTTGCTGCTTATGTTTTGGGTTTTTGTTTTTTGTTGCACAGCAGGTGATAAATTCTGTATCACATCAGATTCAGGTTCGCTTTGCTCCCTTTTTTCAGGTGGAGATACAGAGAGACATGTCCTTTTTTATTTCTTGGTCAGTATTCGGTGAATAGCCTTCATTTTGATTGGAATGTTTGCTTCTAGAAATCGCTCAGAAATCTGTTGCTTTTGGACTAAATCTTGACATCTGATGACTCTTCAGAGTTTAACCTTTCAACTATGTGTGTAGTTTTAGTGTCAGGAACATTTGCTGCTAAAAAACCCAGAATCAAAGTTCCCCCCAGAGGCAATCCGTCTGTTTCACATAGAAATGAACCGACTACAGGCTGTAGGACTGCATATAATAAACCTAACCCTTCTGAGGAGTATGGCTGCAACTAATGAGTAGTTTGCTAATACATTCATCTGTTAGTTGCATTTTTATTAATTAATAAGTTGTAGATTAATAAAAAAGCTCCTTAAAGGGCTTTATACAGAATTTAAACCCTTTGAAGATGTGAGTCCCATTGTGTCTATAAAAAATGTTACAATTTCAAAGAAATAACCTCAGTCCAACAGTAAAGTATGGTGGTGGTAGTATAACGGTCTGCTTAAGGACCTGAAAGACTTGAATCTGGTTTAAATAGAACCATGAATTCAACTGTCTACCAAAAAAATCCTGAAGGCGGACATCCTGCCATGTGTTCATGACCTTAAACTGAACCAAACTAGGTTTGGATCATAAACATACCAGCAAGTCACCATCAGAATGGCTTAAGAAAAATAAAATCCTGACTTTCTAGTTCCTGGTTTAAGTTTAGGGAGCGACTAGTTTTTCAAACAGGTTTATCTGCTGTACATTTACATTTCACATTAGCTTCTCTGTTCCAGTAAAAATCCTCTGATTTAAACACCCTGGGATTTATTTTTTACTCTCAGGATGAGCTGAGAAATTGGCATTTCTGGTCTTTAAAAAACAGTTTAATCATTTTCCTATACTTCTAAATTCTTTTAACAAGAAGTAGGAGGGGTTGCTGAGTGATGGGGGGTGTCTCTGTCTGTCTGAGGCACAGAGTTAAACAATGAGAACCCCTCCTCCACCCATTGCTGCACACTGCTGGTAAACTGGCTGAAAGATGCCCCATTTGTCTCTCCCTCACATTAGACTATCTTAGGGGAAATATTTGCGGTCACAAAAGTAGAACAACCATGGAGTGTAAACTTGTATTGGTGTTAGAGTATTGAGGCTTTTTTATACAAAATCAACATGTTCGAGCTTTTAATTATGTTGTACATGTATTACTTCATCAAAATCATGCATAACGTGGTATTTTGCTAGATACAATCATCTCTGCGTAATCGTCATGAGTTCTGCTGTCTGAGCAGCAGCCCTTCCATATCCTGTGAAAACCAGCAGATAGAGAATATCTATGTAATAACACCCCTTTAGGAAGCACCTTCATTGACCTTGCTGTGCCTGCACTGTAAACAAATGCCCACTTTGTCCGATCAAGGAGGGGTGATGTGAGACAGAGCGTCATGATTGCAGCTTAAAGTTGAGACAAAGTGGCCTTTTTAGCGGCTAATCGGCACAGAGCAGCAACTTTCTGTTTCAGCTAAGACAATTTGTATTATTCACCATTATTTACATGTAGAGGGCGGCTCATTAGCCTGTGAGGTAAAGGTATAGATTATATTGAGGCAAAGGGAACGGGTTGAGTGAATACAGTAAAGCAGAGCGCCGCCACAGCTGCAGAGGTAACCAAGCAAAAACCAGCAGCAGTTGAAAAATGAACTTGTGTCTGTTTTCCTGTCATGAAAACCAATCAGGGATTAGATGAGGCTGTGATCTAAGGTGAAGGAACAAAGCCAAGGCAGACTTTTTCAATATAAAAGGAAGATATTGAAATTAATGTTGACAAAGGATGAAGCAGGATGAATGCTCTTAGCAGGTTTGTTGGCACCTTTAATAAAGACGTTTTAATTTAGCCCTAACAGAGCTGTGCATCATCCTCCATTAGCTTTAGCAGAGACACCGCTATCCTGCATCGGTCTTCAGCCGATAGCCTTTAGAGCTAGCCCAGGCCAACCGCCTCCTCTCCCCCATTCTGCCGTACTCTCTGCCCTGAGGACTCCTCCAATCTCCTGTTCCTTAGTACCAGAGGGGGGCACAGCGCCATTTTTCCTCTGATCTTCTCTGAGCTCCAGAACTTGGCGTCTCCTTACCTGAAGCTCCACGGGAAGCGGCTGAGATCCAGCCGGAACTCCTGGATGCCCCAAACTGGGAGCGTCTCTGTTGGAGCCAAGCTGGTTTTGTTCGGCTTTCCAAAATAAATAAAGCAGTGTGCTCTGTAAAATCCAACAATCTGCCATGTTGAGGTGAAATCAACAAGCAGCAGATTCAGTTTATTCTCATTATCAGTTTGTTTGAAATTGTACGAAAAGTTATGCACAGTAATTTCGTACGTTTTTGACGTTTTTTTCGTCGTATTTCGTCGTATTTTTACGTCTTGCCTCGAGACAAGATATCCTTGCGCATGCGCATCTTACGCACCATTCAATAACATAGAATTAGGGGGGCCACATGCCGAAGGCATGGCCCACCTATTACTATTGCACATATTTATTCCGCGTATTATTATTAGGGGGGCCACATGCCGAAGGCATGGCCCACCTATTACTATTGCACATATTTATTCCGCGTATTATTATTATAGCTTATAGTTCTCCTCGTCCCCTAAAAACTTCGGCGCGTAACTAGTCACGCACCATTCGTCGGATCGGGCCCAAAGTTGGCACACGCGTAGGGACCAATGGTGCGATGCGTGCTTGTATAAAACTTTCTCATTAGTCCGAAGGTTCGCGAATTATTAGCGAAAACGTTGCAAAAAAAATCCCATAGGAAATGAATGGGGAGAGGAAAAAAAGCATAAAAAACAGCACCTCACTGTGTCGGCATACATTCATGTAGAAAAACAGTTTAAAGCTCAGTTTGTAGATAAATCCTTCGTCTATTTAAAACTGAAGACGGTATGTTGATAACTGCTACGGTTTTTGTATAATCAGACCTCAAGCGCCACAAAGTTTTAGCAAAATCCACCCTTCTAGAGTGGAGAGACTGAAAAGCTAGAGTGTGAGGCAGCCGTTTTTTTAAGACCAAAAAACATTTTAAAATCGCCCTCACGGCCACATATTTATAGCTAGAGTCACCATTTTTGGTCAGTTTGTAGGCTGAAACCTCTGGACTCACACAATGTCTTCAGAATTACGGTAGGCTTAATACTTTTCCTTAAAAACGCTCCAGACCGACCTAAAGTCGATGAAAATCAGAGCCGTTTTTCATTGGTTTTGGAGCAGCAGTGGGGAGAAAAACGAATGACATTATATGTTTTCAACTCGTCATAAATATTTTTCTGAAAGACACACATACACCAAAGTTGGCATAGTTGGAGTCGAAGGATGGCTGACGCTCACGGTGAAAGAATTTATTGAATAACTCATACGGTTTTTGCTCAGCAGTCGTTTGTTCGGAGGACATTTTAAGCACCAGAAAGCTGGGTGAGAGGGACCTGCTGCAGCTAGCCCAATTAAAAGATCAGGTGTGAGAAAACGTTTTTTCTTTTTCTTTCTCTTCCCATTCAGGTTGTAAATGACCTACAGCCATGAAAGTTACTCCAATTGAAGACAAGATATAGCTTTAGCTTAGATAAAAATAATTTTTCAGATACCTTTTACGGTTTTTACTCGGCAGTCGTTTGTTCGGAGGGGTGCTTTAGCAGCTTAAAGGTGAGTGAGAGTGTGATGCTGCAGTTAAAACAAAGGGAGGAGAAGTGGGATTAGCCATTTTGTTTGTGCTTCGTTTTGGGTTGTGAAAGACCTACAGACATGAAAGTTACCCCAGTCTGAGACAAAGGATAGATGTTGCTTTCACTGAAAGAATTTTTCAAATACCTTTTACGGTTTTTTCTCAGCAGTCGTTTGTTTGAAGGGTAAGAACATGGAAGCTAGCTGACAGTTAGCTTCTGCAGCAGCCTGCTGCAGTGAAGCAGGCTGTCGTTTTTTTAAGATAAAACATTTTGTTCTTGCCTCACGGCCACATATTTGGAGCTACAGTCACCATTTTTGGTCAGTTTGTAGGCTGAAACCTCTGGACCCACACAATGTCTTCAGAATTACGGTAGGATTAATACTTTTCCTTAAAAACCCTCCAGACCGACCTAAAGTCGATGAAAATCAGAGCATTTTTCCATTGGTTTTGGAGCAGCAGTGGGGAGAAAAACGAATGACATTATGTGTTTTAAACTCGTCATAAATATTGTTCTGAATGACACACATACACCAAAGTTGGCATAGTTGGAGTCGAAGGATGGCTGACGGTCACGGTGAAGAAATTTTTTGAATAACTCATACGATTTTTGCTCAGCAGTCGTTTGTTCTGAGCTGTTGCTCCCATTCAAAAAAGCCTGAGAGCAAAGGAACGATAGTGCTGCGCTTTTCTCTCTGTCACTGACAGGCTCGTTAAGCGTTGTCAAGGTAACCGTGCTTCAAAGAGATTTTACCTCTGCTGTTTTAAA